GCAGCTGGTGGTGATTATTCCCCTCTACTACTGCGTGTTGGTCGGGTCCGGGTGGATCATCATGAGCGCGCACATGGCCGGCGACCCCGCTGCTCGCGACATCATCGACAGAAACGATAACAACGCCGCCTGGTATTTTCTCTCTCTTTTTTTTCTTCTTTTCAGATTTATTATCCTGATATAATGATGTATGGCCGCAGGTGGGGTCTGTTTCATGCCATCTCGGGGTTTGGCAACTGCGGCTACTCGACCTTTGGGGACAACATGGTGCAGTGGCAGAGATACCCGCTGCCGTTGATCGTGATGTCGCTCCTCATCTTCACCGGCAACACGGCTTTCCCGCTGCTCCTGCGCGGCATCATCGTAGCGCTCTACCACATGCCGTTCCTCAAGTACGCACACACGCGCACACGCGCACACGCGCACACGCACACACGCACACACGCACGCACACACGCACACACGCACGCACACGCACACGCACACACGCACACACACACGCACAGTGACTGACAACCATTATGGTTTGATGTTACAGGCGATGGAAGCATGTGTACCGCTACATGTTGGACAACCCTCGTCGGTGCTTCACCCACTTGTTCCCGTCGTCTGAGACCAAGTGCGTCGTCCCTTGCCCGAAAGAAAGCCCTTTCTGGGCTCGAGCCCGCATTGTTGGCACACCTCCGTTTTTTTTTGCTCACGCACTTCGTCTTGTGCGCGCAGGTGGCTGTTGTTGGTGCTTCTGTCTCTGAATTCGATCGAGTTCCTGTTCGAAATCGTACGTTCACACACACACACACCACACACACACAACACACACACACACACAACACACGCAAGCGCCCAACTAATCGAGGGGTGTGCGCCACAGATGCTGGATTGGGATAGCTCGGCCTACGACAATCTCAACTCAGGACAAAAGTTGGTGAACATGTACTTTCAGGTAATGCACCACCTGCAGATATGGCTGCCATACACTCCACTGCACACTGACCGCACGCTTTGCCGGCGTATACTCTGGACTTCCTCTCCACTCCCAGAGCGTTGCCATCCGCACGTCGGGCTTCAATTCCGTCGATATCACCAAGCTCTCAGTGGCCAACCTGTGGCTCTTCACAGGTTTGTTGTTACGTGTCGTGTCGTGTTGTGTGCGGGGTTGCGTGTGCGTGTCGTGTCGTGTTGTGTGCGGTGTGTTACGTGTCGTGTCGTGTTGTGTGCGTGTGTCGCGTGAGTGCGCCAATCTCACGTGCGATCGTCTCGACGTGGCGGCAGGCATGATGTACATCGCCGCCTCGCCTGTAGCCATCACGCTGCGGTACACCAGCAGGGCCAACGACAGCCTCGTGACGAGTACGCAGCCTCGCTCCTCGTGTCGTGTGTGTCGTGTGTGTCGTGTGTGTCGTATGTGCGTGTTCCTCACCGACAGACCGATTGTCTATAGCGGGTCGAACTGCCAAGACCACCAACACGGTTGGCTCGCAGGCCCAGACCATATTCATGCGCCACTTCATCTTCCTCTTCATCGGGGTGCTGTTCATCTGCATGATCGAGGAGGTGCCGCTCATGAACGATCCCAACTGGTCCATCTTCAAGATCATCTTCGAGGTCGTCTCTGGCTACGGTACACTCTCCCCCACCCGCCACCTTCATGCCTTACCGCCACCTTAATGCCTAATCTTGGGACTCGCCACGCGATTGCAGGTACGGTGGGGCTGACGCTGGGCTACGGCTCGCTGCCGTACTCGTTCTGCGGTGTGTGGAAGGACGGATCCAAGATGGTGCTCCTCTTCATCATGATCCTCGGCAAGCACAGGTATACCACCCTACTACTCCCCCCCCCCAACCGTGCGCCCCAGGGGTGGTGATGGTGACGTATCAACCTCGCCCCAGGAATCTTCCGGAGTCGGTCGATTCGGCCGTGTCGGTGCCCTCCTACATGTCCAACGATGACGACGACGACTCGTTGAGCGACATCGAGGTTCGCTTCCGCCCCGATCAGTGAGTGAAGAATGCGCACTCATCAACTTTGACTGACACACTCCCTTTTGCTGTGCGACGCATCTCTCAGGTGTTGAGCGATGACGATGACGATGAGGTGGTGTCGCTGGAGGAGCTCGACAACCCGGGCAGCAGCGAGGACGATAAGAAGCACAAGCGGATCCGGGGCGCTGGTGTGAAACACACCTCGACCACGACCGACACCGAAGGCGACGAGACCCAGCCCGGCGTCCTCTCCACCGATACCGAAGGCGACGCCGGCGGCCGCTAATGTTTTTTCCATCGAAGTTCTGCTGCACCCACGTAGCACGCAAACCTGTAACACTGCAGTCGCTCGGGGGGGGGGAGAGAAAAGAATTAAAGCGAAGTGAAAAATGAAAGGGAAGATGGTG